GGGTGCCAAAAGGTCACACAGGTCTAGACATGATAAGTCTGAGATGTTGTTCAACTCAAATGTATTAACCAAACTAACACTAAAACAACACTGTCTCAACTGCTTACACACTTTCTGGTCTCCCCTGGGCCAAGCCTGGTTCAAACCTGCACCTAAATTACAGGCTGGGGAGTGGTTAGCTCATCCTTTCCTGGTGTTTGTAAAGAGGTTAAGTCCTAATTGTGCCCCCATAAATGTCCTTGATCACAGTAGGAAATTGACAGCTCCCAAATGACCAGCACCTCTGCGTCCATGTGTCAGAGGCATTTGTACTGCCTTTGTCTTCACCACCACCATAGTTGTGTTGAACTAGGGGCCTTTGGCATGGAGTCGGCAGGGGGCTGGCTGCACCTCTGTTGCACTGTGGCATCCTTCAGCTAGCTAAAACATGAAGCTTTAGAACTTCTTTGGGTTTCGCGAAGGCTTTCACGGCCGGGATCTAATGGTTGTTGTAGGTTTTTGGGGCTCTTTGGCCATGTTCTGAAGGTTGTTCTTCCTGACATTTTGCCAGTCTCTGTGGCCAGCATCTTCAGAGGACTTCACACAATCTTCATCTCCTCTGAAGATTCCAGCCACAGAGACTGGCGAAACGTTAGGAAGAACAGCCTTGAGAACACGGCAAAAGAGCCCGAAAAACCCACAACAACCAATAACTAAGTCTGCTTGAAGCTAGGCTAGGAGTCCTCCCTCTGTTCCTCCTCTCTACCCTTTATACTTTTGCTGTCCCCTCCTCCTTTTTAGACTCTTCCAACCTCTATGTCCTGTTTTGCCTTTTCTTATCCTGCCCTCCTTGAGCCTTGATGTTTCCAGAAAACTCATTGTTGTCTGAACTCGTAAGGCAAGCTCCTCTCAATTACTTCTGCTCCTCTACCTACATGGATGACCCATGGGTGGGCAGTATCGATGCAGCTATCTGCTATATTACTGTAGTTTTTCCTTCCAGCCCTCTTGTCCTTAGTGTGCTGCTGCTGAATGCTCAGTTAATTGAACAAAAAAACCTATATAATTCAGGGCTTAGTGTTATTCTAGCATGATGGTATGTAATGCATCATTAGTACCTTACTAGATGAAGCCAGACTGATTGATCTGTTCCACATAAACTCTTCTTGGTGGTGCAGCAGCTTAGACCACAAGGTGGACACGAGGACAATAATAGCAAACAGAGGGCAGATTGGTTTGTTGTACCGTATGTTCCACTGTTAAAAATCTCCTTACCAGAAGTGGCAGAGGTGATATTGATATCAGGTGTGCTGTTGAAGTATCCCCGGTTTGTGATTCTGGATTAGAGATGGGGATGAACTTCGGTTTGGGGGCTCGTGCCAGTTCATAAACATGGCACTGTGTTCCCTTCTTCCACCTCCCTGGCTGAATCCTCCACTCACCAGCTGGCATGTGCTCCTTATCTTTAGCTGTTCAGCCAGTCACTGCCAGGAGCATGGGCTTCCATGACCCATCTCATTGGCTGATCACCCACTCAGACAAGGAGGCAGGGCAGGGCAGCTTGTGCTCCTGCTGGGGACTGGCTGAACAGGCAAAGAGAAGGAGGAGAGAAGCACATGCTGGCTGGTGAGTGAGACATTGGCCAGGGAATTGGGAAGGGAATTGTGCTGTGCCTACAAACTGGCATGAACTTCTGAACCAGGGTTCATGCTCATCTCTATTTTGGACCTTGGGTAATGAAGCCCCTCAGGGCTCAGGGGAAACCATGGGGGTTGTCTTAGTAGCACCATGAACATGCATATGATGGGATCTACTTTGTACTTAATTTTCAGTTTGGTTAGCAGGATGCAGGGGTGAAGAGGCTAAATTCTTCTGATTCTATTTAGTGGACATTGATCAAAAAGTATGCTTTCAGTGTGCCAGTGATGACATATTATACCATCTACTGTAGAAACTGAATTGTCTAGAGAAAATGAAGATAGAGACACTGGGCTACTGAATGATGGATTTCAGAAGGTTATGATTTAGGGCTTTTGCTCATATTGTGCTGCCATTATCTATTGAGGGGCCCTCTGATGCTTAATATCTAAATGAAACTACAGTACTAGGAGAGAATGTCCAGAGCTTTCTAGTGCAGTGTTGCCATATGGCTTCCAGTATATTTCTCACTAATTCTAAGGGAGGCTTGAATCAGTACACCATTGAAGTTTTCCCTGGAATTAGGGACTCTTGAAACAATGCATGATATTGACTGGATGTCAGACAAAATAATTAAGCTTAATCTAAACAAGATGGAAGTGCTAATGGGAAGAGGGAAACTGCTCTGGAAAGAGGTATTCCAACAGTTTTCTAGTGGGGAATCTTTTCTTTCAAAAAAGCCTGTTTACCATTGAAAGTGCTTTGTTTTATAGACCGCCTTTCTCCTGATAAGAGGCCCATGGCGGCTCGCAATATTAAAAAGGATAGAATTAAAAACATGATGAGTTGAGCATTAAAAAACAATTAAACTATATGCTAACTAAAATACAATTGAATAATTAAAAGCAAGTAAACATTAAAAGCTATCTTAACTTTAAAAAGGCATTCAGGGACTCAATCATGATTGTTAAAAGCCTGCCTGAAAAGATAGGCCTTTAGCTGTCGGTGGAAGGATAAAAGGGAAGGAGGCCATCTGATCTCCTGAGGGAGAGGTTTCCATAACCTAGGAACTGCTGTAGAGAAGGCCATCTCTCATGTCCCCATGAGCCATTCCTTCATGGGCAGTGGGACCGAGAGGAGTTCCTCCTTCGATGTTAAATGCCAAGAAGGTTCATATGGGGAGATGCATTCTTTCAGGTAGTCTGGACCTAAGCTGTCTAGAGCCTTATAGGTAATGATCGCCTTATAGTTAATGATCACCTTTTAGATAGATGTGCAAGCCAAAATGGCTGGGAGGGCTTTTCTTCAGTTTCATTCTGCAACTTGTATAGAACAGCCCTTGAGCTATGCAGAAACTAAAGTCAGTGCAAACAAACAAACAAACACCTCCAAAAAAAGACACCAACAGCGTGGATGTTGGCAGTGGCCTAGCCATATCACAGCAGTGCTTTATCTAGGTTTGCTGGACGTCTTTTAGCCTAATGTCCGCCATCTGGCAGGCAAAGAGAAAAACCTTTAAAATGTCAGGCTTTTGTATATTTTATGTTATAATTTTGGATGGGAGGGGGAGAGGTGGAAGGACTCTGCCTCCCCCTGTCTTGCCCTGCCCCACCCATTAACCTGCTGCTGGCACTGGAGTGCAACCCTCACCCCCTTCTGCTGCGGCTGCTCAGCAATCCGCCATGCCCGCCCAGCCCACGTGGAGAAAAGCAGCGTGAGCAGAGTGCTGCCTGCCAAGCCAGGCAGGAGCAAGCAGCGGCCAAGTGCATCGATGGGAAGGCGAGCGCCTGAACTGTGTGTGTTCAAAGTCCCTTTCAGGGACTCCAACTCCCATACTCCCCAGCCTTGAACTTATGACCCTCAGGGGAGGGGAAGCTGCCTTGTTCGGCTTTGCCCGGTGCCGCTTTCCCCATGCCTGTGCCAGAGCCTTGTTTGGGTGTCCAGATTAGCAAGGTTGCCTCTGAGCCTGTGTAGAGTGCAAGCATCCAGTGGATCCCACAGCCGGGCCAAGGTGGGTTCTGGTACAGTTGGTTGTTTAAATAATGTTTTTTGGTAGTTTGAAAAAAAGCCTCCATTGAATTTATTTTTACTTGCTATTCTTTGGAAGTCTGAATTCAAAGTCAGTTCACTAAGAGAGATTTATTGGCAAATTTTATTGATTACAGAGGTCAGTTCACTAAGAGAAATTTATTGGCAAATTGTATTGATTACAGATTTAATTCAAAACGATTCAAATGAAACATTCAATACATCCTCCTCTGTCCTCTTTTTTGTCTTTCTATGTCCTCCTTTTGGTACCCATGTATCTGGCAACCCTAGCTTTATCAGATATACTGGCTCTCGCTATACCTCCAGTCGCAATGAAGACAACTTGGTCAAATCTTATAATTCTAAATAAGTTGGGACCTGGGTATCTGAAGGATTTCTTCCTTTTTCACAAACCTATCTTTGTACATCAGGATAAATGATTTTGCATGTCCTTCTGCCTCAAGGTGGGCAAAGTACACCCCATGGGCTATATATGGCTACTCCAGAGCATTTTTTTTTTGTAACTCCAGGACAAACATACCCCCCCAGTGGTAAGTTTCTGCTCCTGGAAACCTCTATAATCTGTAGGTTTTTAATTAAGGATCTTGGGGAGTCTCCTAAGTCTCCCCCATTTGAAAAAAAGGGAGCCAGAAGTGCCCATCTAGTGTTTCCAGGCCCTGTGCAGTTCTCTGAGGGAGCTGGGTGCATGAAGTTGCCCATGCCTATTCAGCCTTGTGAGGCAGGACAAATTGTGGTGCATGGTTGGGCTTTTTAATCAACCATGCCATGGAATCCTTTAGCATGGAAAAGTTGGCATTCTTCACAGGCAGTTTTGTCTGAACACATTTTCTGTGATAGAATTCAAGGAGTTTTGCTGTTTATGTTACTTGGGGAGGGCATGCTGCAGTTTTTTCATATATATATGTTTATATGCTTGTGAGCCAGTCTTAAGATTCTTGTGGTAGATAGTGTGGGAGAAAAGTAATGTATAATGGGAAATGATTAATTCAGAACACATTTCTCTTGTGTTTTTTAAAAATATTTAAATGCAAAAGCCAAAAACGTTCAGATAAAATAAGTAGTAGATGTTAACAATTGCGCCTATCAAAGATATGTGTCATAATGAGGAGGAATAAGGGAAAAGAGACAGCAAAGGGTGGAGGGAGATAAAATAATTCATGAACATTTAACAGAGAATATTTCAAGATTTCTAGTTTTATGAGCCCTTCTTCCCAAGTTTAAACTGGGCAGGTAGGAGAGCCTGCCTGTTATTTGTTCTGTGGTGCTACTTGATCTGGCTAAACTATAGCAGAAGTAATGTCTCAATTCAACTCCTTTTTTCTGGTAAACTACAGGAGGAACGCAAAGGCTACCTCGTACAATTGGAGTGTCTCTGGCAAAGGAACTTATATTTTCTGCCCGTGTAATTGATGGTGAAGAAGCAAAATCAATAGGATTGATCAGTCATGTGGTGGAACAGAATGAAGCAGGGGATGCTGCCTATAGAAGAGCTTTAGCCCTGGCAAGAGAATTTTTACCTCAGGTACAGTCCATCTGTTCCATTGCAGTAAAGGATGAACAAGTGATGAAGAAAAGAATTGTGTAAATTAAGAAAGTTACAATCACAAACAGTAGGTAAATTCCATTATAATTTAACAAATAGAAGATAACCCTCTTTGGTTTATCTATTTAAATTGGTAGTACTAGGGCATAAAAGGCCTCCACAATATCATATTTATATTTTGAATACATCTTTTTTGTTATAACTTTTGACATAGAATTAAAGTGAAACTTTTGAGGTTTCTGTTATTGCTAAAGCTCAGTCCTTCCAAATTTGTGTTTACTTCTATTCATTTATATGACTATCAGTAGAACAGGGCATGCTTTTTTTTTAAAAAAAAATGTCACCATGGTGAATTTTTTTTATTTCTTTGTCTCTAGACTCCCCAGTTCATTTTTCCAAACTAAACTCTACAGATTCTCTGCATGAACAAAATGTATTGAACAGTCACTCTGTAGCTGGAGGCTCAAATTCTAAACACAAGCAAATTCCATTAACTGATGGGATTTGCATGCATGTGTATGTGTTTAGGTATGTAGCTTTACGTATTCTTGAAAAATAATGTATTTATAAGTGTTTGTACTGAACTGTGATTCGGTTGCTTTCTGATCTGGGTGTACTGACACAGTACCAAGCTGATCATTTAGCTTCTCAATGCTACTTTGGTATGGGATGGTGAGGAAGTATTGCTGTTGTTTGGCACAGTTGGAATAATCCATCACCTATTTGGTTTGTTAAATAAGTTAATAGAAAAACAAGAACTGAACCTATATGTAAAACCTATATGATATGTAAACAATCAGCATTAATTAAACAAAAGTTTAAGTAAACAAGTGGACAAAAGTTTGTCCACTTGTTTACTTAATGCTGATTGTTAATTCCAGCTAATGCTAATCTCAGGGTGAAGTTTTATATAAATGCATGTGGTTTGTTCTATGTACCTTCCTGTTTTATGGAATTTCATATGCTTTCAAATGTAAAGAAAAAAGGTAAGGAGTACCTCACATAAATATATTATGAATGCAAGAAATAATTGAAGAGGAAACAGTGTGAAACATGCCCACAATCCAAAAACTTCTCACTTATGGGAAGAGGGGAGTGGATATTTTGTGGAATTTTGGAGAAAAGCTGTGGAGATGATATAAGAAATTAGAAATATAGAATATACTTTATTTATTAATTACTTTATTTATTATTTATTTATTCTTAAACTGAAACATAAACATAAAATACATAAACCAAAATACAAATCGACTGTGTTTCCCAACACCATAATCGGGATCTCTTGCAGTAATCCTCTTCTTCCTCTATCTTTATTCTTCTTCTTCCTTTATTGTCCTCTTCTCCAAAACTGCATTGATTCTTGATTTGGAGCTTTCCCTTTTCCACTTGTTAGCACATATTCAAGAAATCTGTTCCATATATCATAGAAATTATTCTTTTTGATCTCTCCTTTCTTAACTTTAAATTACAAGTTAACTTATCATTTATAGCAATGTTCCATATTTCATTATACCATTGTTCCATTCAAAATTCAAACTTTGATTTCCAATTCCTAGATATTATTAATCTGACTCCTGTTAATAAATTGGTAATCAGTTCTCTAGTCATCTGATCATATTCCACATTCTCAAATATTGATAACAGAGCTATCTCAGGATTAAATTCTGTATCTTTTTCACATATGTCATTTCTTTTAAGATTAGTTTCCAGAATCTTTGTACTTTTTCGCATTCCCCCCACATATGAAAGTACTGTATGTACCAATTTCCTTCTCACATTTCCAACAGATATTCAGATAACTAGTGTTAATTTTATTCAATTTTGTCAATGTCAGATATCATCTTAAACCCAATTTGAATTCTTTTATCTTATTCTCACCAATATAAATTGTAAAACCCTAATTTTCCACATCTTCCTCCATTCTTCATCTATTCTTTTTCCAGTTCGTGTTCCCACACTAACTTCAATCTTTCTTTCTCAGTCTCTTCTAGATCAAACAGGAATTTATACGTTTTACTCACTGCACCCTTTACTGAATCAGTCATCTGAATATCTTCATAGAAATTGTTCATAGTTCATATATTCTCTGCCTTTATTATACTTCTTTACCCATTCATTAGTCCATCTTTCTAATTGCATATAATTCAACCATGATATATTCTTATTTTGAAAGGTTTGTTTCATTTGATCTATCAATCTCATTTTATACAACCAGTCTTTTAATCTAATCACTTTTTTCTTTAAATTATTCTGCATAAACTTTCATATTGGCAGGAAAATCCTCTATTTCACTAGTCCTAATGGAGAGTTCAACGGACATGCAGTGGTGCCTCGCATAGCAACGATAATCGGTGCAGCAAAAATCGCTGCAAAGCGATTTCGTCGCTATGCTATACTAAAAAGCCCATAGGAATACATTGGAATGCGTTCCTATGGGATTCAAACTCACCTTTAAGCAAAAATCAATCCGTTCCTATGGGCTTCAGACTCACCTTTAAGCAAAAATCCTCCATACGGTGGCCATTTTCGCTGCCTGGAAAGCGAGGAATCCGTCCCAGAAAACAGCAGGCAGGCTTTTTGGAACCGCCGATCATTTTGGATCGGCAGCCATTTTGGAACCACCGATCAGCTGTTAAAAAATCGTCGCTTTGCGATGATCGGTAAGCGAAACAGGGTACCGATCATCGCAAAGCGATTTTTCCCCATAGGGAACATCGCAAAGCGATCACAAAAGCAATCGCAAAAAGTTAATCGCGATGCAATTTCATAGTTAAATGGGGCGCCCGTTAAGTGAGGCACCACTGTAAATTCTTTCTATACTTGTTCCAGACGTTTAACATAGTCTTTAAAAATGGGTTATTAATTTTACTTATTTAGTATTTGTTAATCATATCAAATAGATGTTTTTCAATATCCACCTTAATTCTGATGATTCCATTTTCCACCAATTTAACCTTTTTGAGTTGTATATAATTTCCCCAATGAACAACTGATTAGCCTCCTTTTTTGTTGTTTTATGCCAATACATTTTATTTATTCTGGCTCTATTCCCTTGATTAGAGTATTTATTAATCATTCCTTGACAAAATTTAAAATCATCTTCTGTTAACTGTACTGGTAACATTCTAAATAAAAAATTAATTTTTGGTAGAATCTTCATTTTTATCATGCAATCCTTCCAAACCAAGAAAGTTTTAAGTTAGTATATTCCTGTAGTTTCTTTTTAATATCTCCTTTTAATTGATTATAATTATGTTCCTTTATTTTTGAGTATCTTTTACTAAATCTATACCTAAATATTTAACTGATTTACATATCTTAAAATCATATTTATCAACAAACATTTCTTGTTCTAGTTTATTATGATTAAACAACATTATTTCAGAATTTTGCCAATTTACATGTAATCCAGTAATTTTTTCAAATTTTTCTAAATGAATTTTAATTTTATCTATACTTTCTAATGGGTTTTTCAGTGTCAATAGGGAATCATCAGCAAATAAATTAATCTTTATTTTATTATTTTCATCCATACTTTTAATTAAGTCATTCCTCATTGCAGTTGCTAATATTTCAATAATCAAACAAAACAGAACTGGAGAAAGAGGGCAACCTTGTCTGGTGCCTCGGCCTAGAGCTATCTGCTATGTCATCCCATCATTAACAATTACTGCAGAAGTGTTCTCCAAATATAATTGGTGTATTACCCCCCTAAATTTCTTTCCAAAACCCCAGCCCTTTAAAATAATCTTTAATGTTGGCAATTCTACACAATTGAATGCCTTAAAAATAACTAATGATAAAATGCCTGCCTTTGATATATCTTTTTCTATATTATATATAATATGCAAAACCCTCCTAGTTAAATTTTCCATTTGTCTTCCCTTTAAAAACCCATTTTGATCCTTTTAAATATATTTTGTAATAAACGTATTCATTCTATTTGCCAAGATTGCAGTAAATATCTTTGCATCTTCATTTAATAATGAAACAGGTCTATAGGAACTTGGGTCTGTCAGATATTTATTGGGTTTTGGAATGAGAGTTGTTAATGAATATTTTCAGGAATCTGGTATTTTCTCTCCTTCCAATATTCCATTATAAAGTATTTTTAACTTGGGGATCAGTATTGATTTAAAAGCGTTATAATATTCTGATCCCATTCCAACAAAGCCTGGAGTTTTACCATTTTTTAGTTTGTTAATAATCTCTGTAATCTCTTCATCCTTTATCTCTTTTTCTAATTCTTGTTTATCATTCTCTAATACTGTAGTTTATTCTTTAAATTTTCTTTAATATAATTTTCTATACCTTCTTTCAATGTACTCTTACCTTTATATAAATTTTGGTAAAATTCTTGTAACATCATTAATTTTTCCTTTATTAGGCTACAATTCTTTCCTGTTTCTGATTACTTTAATTGTGGTTTTTGATCTTTAGTTTGAGCTACCCTAGCTAGAAGCTTTGAGCTTTTATTACTATACTCAAAAAAAAAAAAATCCTCTTCCAGTACATCAAATCCCTCTGGACCTTTTCTAACTCTGTGCTTTCTAACTCTCTCCTTTTGGCTTGAATCTCTAATCATTTCTTATTACCTCTATCTATAAAATATTTACTTTCTAAATCTTTTAATGATTCTTCTATTTTTTATATTTTCTTCTCTCAGTTTTTTATTCTAGATGATTCTCTAATGATAATTCCTCTCTTAACTCCTTTCATAGTGTCCCATAACACTCCTATTTTACACCCACCTGCTTCATTTATTGACCATATTTCCATCCATTCTTTCTTAGCTCTATCCATTACTGTACATCTGTATACTGCAAAATATTGGAATCTATTCTTCATTTTCTAACTTCTCTGTAATCTTTCTTAACTTTCACCTCCATCATCATGTATGCATGAGCCGTTATTTTTATCACATTAATATTTGTATTGACTACTTTAGAAATTAAATGTTGAGATATAAACATGAAATCTATTCTTGAATACCAAATGTCCTGGTATCCCATTTTTCCAAGATATTCAATAGACTAGAGAAATCTTACTATATGCACCTTAACAAAATACTGTTGTATGATTATAAATGTTAAATGGAACATTTGAAGTCACAAATAGAAATGTGTGTCTGTTTTTAATTTTAGGGACCAGTAGCAATGAGAGTTGCAAAACTGGCCATCAATCAAGGAATGGAAGTAAGACAATTTGTTTCTGCTTGCTGTCTAAACTTATTGTTTAAAGGACAAAGTAGATGTGAGACCAGTATAACATGATGTGGCTTGCAGTTGATTTTGAAGATTAAGGGAAAATTTTAAAATATAGTTAGAGTAGGCATGGACACTGAACCTTTTTCATCATCCTCTAGAAGCTTTTTAGCAATTCTCTTTTGACTGGGAGTTGTTTCTCGTCTGAAAAGCCCTCTGGGGGAAAAGAATCTAGAAAGAGGGGTGGCAGAGTCTGTACCTGTGCCACAATATATGCTTCTTGGTAGCTGGGATCAAATTCTGATGAGCAAGTGCACCATCACATCTAGTTTTGTCAATTTAAGGGTTAACATGTAGAATTTGTGTTTCCCTCATCTCTTCAGCTTTTCCCTTTAGCAGCTTTTAGCAAACATAGAGCGGCTGGGAAATTTTATACCCTGAAGTGTGATTTCTTCATACTGTATAAGCAAGAATTACTCTTTTGTTAATAATATCTTCTTATCAAAGACTTACAGTTTTCTGTTTGATGAAAGATAACCTAATTATTTTCTTTCCTAACTTTCTGTGCCAAGGGTAGCACAAAAGTGCCTTAACACTCTGCACATAATTGGAGTATTGAAAATGTGTTTTTATGCATAAGAATTGAAAAATGTTGCCCCAAATATTAATTGAACAATACCCTTTTCACTGTTTCTGAAAGGCAGTTTGTTAAAATATTGGCATATTCTATCATACAACTGTATGAAGTTTTGTTAGTGGTCAGTGTAATCTCATATAAATACAGTGGTGCCTCGCTTAATGAGCGCCCCGTTTAATGAAGAATCCGCATAGCGGTTTGTTTTTTGCGATCGCATTGCAATCTTTTTAATGGCAAAAAATCGCTTTGCGATGATCGGTAAGCGTTTCGCTTACCGATTTTCGCATAGCGATGTTTTCAAAAAATGGCCGCCCGCAGTGTTTTCGCGCCCTTTTCTTGCATACCAGGCAGTGAAAATGGCGGCCGCATGGAGGATTTCCACATAACGGTGAGTTTTTTGCCCATAGGAACGCATTAAATGTGTTTTAATGCGTTCCTATGGGCTTTTTTGCCCTGCATAGTGACGAATCCACATAGCGATGATTTTTTCGGAACGGATTATTGTCGCTATGCGGGGCACCACTGTACATGGAATCTGTTTAACTCATAAGTGAACTATTGGCATGGGGTGTCTCAGAAATGCCTTTATAAATAGATCTCTCCAGTTGTAACTTTCATTTCATGTGTGTAGGTTTAAATGGGGACTGCATGCTGTTTATTTCAGAAGTTGGCAGAAAACTTGAGCTGCTTTGTAGACTTGAGGAAGGTTTAGGACACACTTTAGATTTCAGTATTCTTGTCACATATCATTTCACTACCTCTCATCATGGGCTCAGATTTTATTTCCTTTTTTTAATATAAAACACAGATTTTGGCACTTCAGACAAATATAATTCAGTAAATTGGATGTAGTATGCAAATAAGGAAGTTTTGAAATGGCATCTGAAAGAGAAAGATACAGAAATATAAGATAGCCACTTTTAATCGCCTAAATCAATTTGCAAACTGATGTTAGAGCTGTGTATGCTGCTATAATTTTAACATAGCGAAACACAGAATGAAAAATGTTGATAATGTAATTCTGCAGTGATAAAGAAAACCATATAAATGTATGAACCTGGTATGTTCAAAATCTTTTAAAATAAATATGAACATTTGGCTTAGTGTTGTAGAAGTATTTCTCAAATAATTTGAGTTAATTTTTAACTGCATTTCATATTTTTGTTCCACAGGTAGATCTGCTAACAGGCTTGGCAATTGAAGAAGCTTGTTATGCTCAGGTATGTAACTGATACACTTTTCAATAACCAGCTCCTCACAACAACCTTTCTCAATCAAGGATTGTGAGTATTCCTCCATCTCAGATGATCTGGTAATTTGTGACTTACAGTTTCATTCCTAGATGTGTGACATTATGTTCTTGGTAGTGCATATGTTTGCTTATAGAGATCTGCAGATGTTTCTTTGGGAATTTTGTATTTTTGTCAGAATGAAGAAAATAATTTATTCATGCACTTTGCACAGTTGCTGGATGATGCATCATCCATTTAGTGTCTTCATGTTAGAAAGAGTGGGAAGTATCCCCATGATTAGTTAGAACAGCTGCTAAGCTTTCATTAGATTGAGGAACAATTCAACAGTATTGTGGGTGCCCAGGAGAATTATATATTTCAAAAATATCTGAAAAGTTCTGGAGAAGTACAATTTCCAATAATGTCAAGGCCCAGGATATTGTTGTTATTGTGTTCCAAGTGTGGGTGAGGGTGGGGAGTTGGAGAGGAAGAGAGGTAACCAAACTTCTTTATATTCTTGATAGTTTCTTTAGCATAAATTAAGCCTGAACTTCAGACAAATCTCTTGGCCTATGCTGGGTAAAGTCCAAATTTTTGCCTGCTTTTGGCAAATCATTTCCAAATTATCCTGGAAAAGCTTACCTATTAATAATCAGGTGCCATATAAGTTTTTTAATTTGCTGTGAATTTACCACAAAATCTTTTCTACTCCGTGTCTAATAACATAAAGAAATTACTGTAGAGCTATTTTCTTGCATTGAGATGATCTCAGTGCACAAAGAATATACTAAGTGAAATTGCCCTCAGTGCACTCACACCCTTGCACTGACAATCAGCAAAATATTGGCTATAGAAGAGCATGATTGATTTACAGAAACTGCAGAATACTTTGCAGTCATGGCTCAACTTACAGTTTTTTCTGAGCTTTATGTATATATGGTATGAATGGAATTTAACAGTTCTAGGCAGATAAAAGTTTGCATGGAAATGTGACTGACTTATAATGTGGCAACTCAAAATGACTTTCTTCATTTTAGACAATTCCAACAAAAGACAGAATTGAAGGTCTTCTTGCTTTTAAAGAAAAAAGACCCCCTCGCTACAAAGGAGAATAGAAAAATCAAAAACAGATGCCTTTTAAAATGCAAATGAAATAAACATACTGCTGGAAGGACTTTTCAGCTGCCTTTTGCCTCAGAACGTGGAATATTGTTACCATGAAAGTAAATGTAATCATCCATCATTAGATACAGCAGACACCTGCACTCATGACTTAATTGGTTCCCCAATGATGCTTATTTAAAAAGCCATTATTAAGTTGAACCCACTTTCTCGTTGGGGCCAGTGTAGAAATATAGGTTTAGTTCCCGGGCAGTTCTCAAGCCCCAGTTCCAACATCCTCTTTGCTCTCTTGTCAACTTCTGCCATCTTGTTTGTGCCTCCTGTTCCCTTATACAGTCTTCTCTATTTTCCCATCCATCTTCCATGGACTTGTTCGTTCCTTCTGTCCCTCTAAGCTATCTTCTCTATTTTCCTATCTGTTCTAGGCTGCCTTGCTTGCACCTTCTCTGCTGCTCAGTTACCTGTTCTGTTTGCTCTCTTGTCATCATGCTGGTCATAAAGATTGTAAAACTGTATTTTGGACTCTAGTGAGAGGGCATTGGGTAACAATGAAGTGGTTGTTGAAGCAAGGAGTTGCAAAAAGAGTCATCAGAAGTCTGGGTCTGCTGTATCTATAATGTACTCAATTTGTATTTAGTCTTATGGTTTCTAAAGGCTTCTCTGTATATTTTCAACAACATTCAGTTGTTGAGCACTTTAATTCCATATACTGGATTTGAACTGCATATTTTATCAGTTAAAAATTTACATTCCTAATGTAAACAGAGCTTAAGGTAATCATAAGAAGTGTAAATCTTCTGCTGTTGTAACAGAATAATTTAATCCTTCACACCAAACATATGAGCTGTATCACATAAAGTTTCTCAATGAGTCTTTAATATATATTTTAAATCATGTTTCTTTTAATTGAATTTATACATTTACTAATAAAGTTAGCTGAACTGACCAGAGGAAGTGGCTGAAATTCTATTGCTTTTTAGTAAAAGGCATAATATTCACACCTTCCCAGCCAGTAATTAAAGAGTCTTTGTTAGGATTCTCAAGCCTGCCCCAAGCCAGTGAGTTGGTGCACTCCACAGAACCACAGTGGTGGCTGTTTAATTACTAGCTGGGAAGGAGTAAATGTTAAACCTTTTGTGCAGAGTATCAGGATTGCCGCAGATATATGAAATATCATATTTGTTCATGACTTCCATTGATACATTAAATTCTTTTGGAAACCTATTATATTGTGGTGTTGCATAGTTGAGGAGAATTAGTATATTAATCAAAGAATGCTTAAATTAGGCCTCCAATATCAATGGGATTTTAATAAGAGGTGATGTTAGATGTTGCCTAGAGTAACATGGCATAAATTACGTTTTTTTTCCACAGACACAATGACAAATGCATTTTAGAATGAAGTACTGTCTTCCTAGTTGTGCATGTATGACTGTTGCCTTCTTTTTATGACCATGATATTATCATCTCTGCATTTTCTCTAGCAGCTACATAGCTGAAGTGTATGACTGTAAAATTTATATCTACAGTTGTGCTAAATGGGTCTTATTATAGTGATTTATGAATTAGCTCCACTTATTTTAATTTCTTTAACCGTTCGAAATTTGGCCCTTTACAAGTTCTAATATATCAGAATTCAAGGTTTACCCTGAATGGTTTGTATCTTACCCCCTGAGATTTAAATGCCCGTGGATATTCCAGCAATGCTAATATTTCAAACAATCACAGCTAATACGCACTTCAGAAAGCATATGTCATAGCAGAAATTCTGTAGGAACAGAAATGCCACTCAGTAGCCACAACATTTCTGTAAAAGATAGTTTTTCATTGTCTCTGGATGAAACTAGATTATATACTCAGCATATAATCAGAAGCAGGATTTCCTTAAGTGCGAAGAGACATCTGTTTGTCTTAGCATGACCATGTCACTTCCTGTATCTTGCAAATTACTTTGCTTTGTTTGGGTAACTGGTTGTCAGGAAATAAATATGGGTTTCAAATGCTCTTCTGATTGCTCCAGCCCTGAGAAGCACTCATTGTCAGAACACAAACATGCTATCACCTTTTAGTTTCAGGCACAGCTTCTTGTATTGCAGATTGACCCTGATTCTGCCATTTCAGATCTCAAAAGAAAGGTTGTTCCTCAATCTTGAATAATGTAAATAAATGAAGGAGTGGAACTAGCCAAAAGAGAGTACATTAGCAGCTGGCTTAAAGGGGGATGATTTGTGTCTGAGATTGACCTGTGTGTCCTTAGTCATAAAGTGTTTTAAAACTGGAACCTTGAATTGGATCCAGAAGATTATAAGTAGTCTGTTTGCTGCAGTGCAGGATGAATGTGTTCTTGCTTCCCCCATATCTAATATTAGGCAATATGTACTCACTGAAGCTTCTACAGTCATCAGTCACATATAAAATACATTGCACTAGAGTAATATAACTCCAGTGTGGCAAGATCCCTGTCTTCTGGAAGGAGTGTGGAGATTTAATAATAGAATGTCATTTTTATGAATCTTTTTAGTCAGATTTACAGAACATGAATCATTCCTGGAATTTTGCTTAGATCAACCTTTATTACACTAACTAAAAAGGAAAAAGCCAAAAGCTTGCAGTAGCTACAGAACAATAAGCATAATGAGCGATTTGTATAAAGTTTTCATTAAAATGATGCTCCAAGAAATTTACAAGTGAGAAGAAGGAAAAGAAAACATGCAGTTGAAGAACCAAGTTGAGAGCGTGGAGCATGTTGATAAATATAAACATACCTTAGAATTTGGTTCAATGAACAGTTGATTCATGGCCATATAATAAAAGTAAGAATAGAGATGGCCGGAGAAGTTTTCTTAAGATGAAAGCATAATATGCAATAAAAACTTCAAAAAGCTAGCCTTGAGAAAGTGCTTTGTATGAGGCCATAGCTCTGATGTATGGTGTAGAATTACAGACTTTTAACACAGGCAGTTATGGAGAGGATACAGACATTTGGGTGGTGTGGGCCTACCACAAGATGCTAAGGATTCTTGGATTAAGAGGTTGACCAATGAAGATGCACTAAGACAAATTCATAACAGCCAGAAATCATAAAACACATAAAATTCAGAAAGCTATGTCATAGAATGTGAAACACAAAATACAAGTTGTTATGGTTCATTATTCAAAGTAAAATGAATGGGTAAAGAAGTTCAAGAAGGAGAAGAACCTGAGACACAGCACAACATGATTGCAGGCTAATTCACACTTGTCAGAAGGAGAGCTGTGCTGACGAATATCCACACTGGACACTGCAACTTTGGGGAAGCAGTTGACCACAATGTCATTGATTTACATCCACCTTAGCATTGGCTCTTGCATGAGGAATGGATCCTAACATCAGCTGATGTGATTGCCAACTGATGGACCACCACCACCACTGAGGAAGAACCCCAAACGACAGGAAATGGGGTTCACTTTGTAGATGCAAGCCATCTTCCATCATTGGGGAGCAAAGAGGGTGCAATAGTCCCTGAGCTGAATGTGTACCTGGTCTCTGTGCCCCATGATACCTTAATAGGACTGCTGCTTGGAAACGACCATAGATTCACTGTCCTTCCCTCATCCTACAGTGGGGTCTTGACGGTTCTACATACGGACTTTTCGACTTACGAACCCGCCCAATAGGAAATTACATACTCAACATACGAACTTCCCTCGAGTTACGATCAGGAAAAAAGTACCCCCTCCCTCCCATTAAAGGTTACTGGAGGGGAAAAAACGGTAAGAAACTTAAAAATAAATAAAAGTCACTTACCAGGCCTTGGTAGCCCCCGAACTGCAGGAAAAAGAGCAGCAAACAGATAAAAGCCGACACCCAGAAGGGAGCCTGGCAGCCATTTTCTGCTTTTCTCTGCTCCTGCCCCCTCCTCTCCCCACCTAACAGCTGATCGGCTGGCTCTGAAGAGGCTTGGGGAGGCTTGCTCAGCACCTAAGAAGCCTTCCTGTGTGTCTTTGTTCTGAAAAAATCAGCACAACATGCTTTAAAACATGGTTTAAAATTGGCCTCGTTGAAAAAAAAGATTTCAAAAGTGCTTTTAAAACTGTTCCCTGCCTCCCCCTCCTTTCCTGAACTTTTCTTGACCTAAGAAAAAAAGAAAAAATATCCCCCTCTAGTGGCAGAAGGCGGAATAGCAGCTTCCCATTAGTTTCCCATTAGTTTCTATGGACGGAAAAAAGCAGATACAGATTAAATGGTTTTTAATGCATTCCTATGGCAAATGAAGATTCGACATATGAACTTTTCGACCTACTAACCGCCTTCCAATACGGATTAAGTTCGTAAGTCGAGACCTCACTGTATTTGGATGCGTCCTCATAGCCAAAACTTCATACCAAAATTGTGACAATAAAAAAGAAAACGTATACACCAAGCCCTCAACCAATAGGATAACACTGTTCTCCAAAGGAGCGCTGTATTGGGCTGACACTAGTTGGGGACAGACCACTTTTTAAAGTCTGCTGGGTGGACTGGAAACTTCCCCACTCCGGTCATCCCAAGAATGCCCAGCACTAGCTGTTCTGCAATTGGCCTGGGAAAATACTGATAAAAGGGATGAGGTTTGCTGCAAAGGCCCCTGAGGAGGGCTGCTGTTCTATGCCTGCTACCTGAAAAACAGTCCTGGGGTAAGTCCTGGGCCCCTGCTTGTTTTAAGCTATCACATCCAAAGGCAACACAGCCATGATAATGTCTAGCCTCCAGTAGGGGAGGAAGAACAAGAAGAGTAGAATCTATTTTCCAAAAAGTGTTGTTAAGTAGCATTGTCTGCTGTTACAGCAATATTATATAGTTATACTCCATTTGTACAGTGATAAAAGGACAGATCGATATAAAACAGCAAAAGCTTATTAAAATTAACCTTAGACCATCTACTTATATGAACCTTGATTGTATATGCTGCAGTGGCTTTATCATATTTCTGGATGAAAAATCTGTGCAGATACTAATGTTATGCTTTTATCATGCCCCCCTTATATAAACCTGACAGATTGTTTAATGCTCTTAAATCACTGATAAGGCATTATATGGGAGTGGAGGTAGTAGAGCAAAGTTATGTAACATAAGCAATAGTGATTTATACTCGTACTGAAGGATCTTTGAATTCAAGCTTGTGTGCTCTCTATTGAAGTGAACATTAACACCTGGTTTACAATGCTTTAAATTATTTCTCTCTAGATTAATTGTCTCAGAACATGAATGACTAGCGCTTAATTTTCCAACTGTATTGTTGTATTATTACATTAAAACATCTGAGATATGACCTGTTAACTGTTGTGAAGTGCTCTATTTTCATTGGAAATCAGGGTGATCTGAACATTGTAACCAGATGTTACATCTTGGAATTTACTGCTTTCTATAGTTAGAAGTGACAGCTTAGAAAGTTGCTTTTACAAAGTGCGGAAATAGTGGCATGCTTTGAGTCCCAAACATCATGTTACCATTGCTTAATTATGAGTGGCTTCAGCATGTTATTCTATTACAGTATATTCTACAACCAAAAAAATCAACCTTTCAATCCCAATCTTGTGGGGATTCTGCCTTTTTAAAAAACTCCATGTATAAATATGTCTGTAACTAATTAACTTCAATTTTTTTAATGACTGACTGCTGATTAATTAGTAGGATTGGACTTTTTTGAGAGTGGAGTCTGGTCTGCGTGACAATTGGAAAGTTAGATCTGAGAATTTGATAAAGAAGAAATTCTGTTTTACAAGTTTGTCAGGAGAAGGAGTCATGCGCTGGAGCCTGTATAGGGAAATCTGTCTAGAGCAGCGGTTGCCAACCTTGGGTCCCCAGATGTTCTCGGACTAAAAACCTTACAAGCCTTCACCACTAGCTGTGCTGGCCAGGATTTCTGGGAGTTGTAATCCAGGAACATCTGGTGACCCATGGTTGGGAAACCACTGGTCTAGAGAGCTTAGAATGTGTGTGTCAGAAAGATTGAAAGTCTGTAAAGAAAATTTAAAAACAAGAGAAATGTATTTACATTTTCTGTTCTTTTAACCATTACCATCAGCATCCTAGAACCTATCTTTCACTTCATATCTATTGCCTGTGGTCCCTCAGTAAAAATCCTATTTGTTTAAATCAGACTCTCTCACTTTTAATTTGTATGTAACTAAAAAGTAAAATAGACAATATTACACTCTGGGCCGTGAAAAGCTACATTCTACCAGTAGGAACAAAGTGATGAATTTAAAATAAAATAAAAACCCTTTGACTAAACACCCAACTAATCTAAGTTGCCAGCTTGGGGCTTAGAAATTAGGACCGGATAGAATGGGCAACCCCCAAATACTTGGCTGTAGTTTTGGGGAGTGATTGTCTCCTCAGGTTAATGCCTTCCCTGGTGGCACCAAGGTGGGATGGCAAAGTTTTAGAAGTTTATCAAGGTGGTGCTTTGCTGCAACCCATCTCAGGAGTGTATGACTGCTTGTGTAAAAACTACTGAATAAGGTCATTGTCTTCTCACTGGGAAAGAAAAGTCATGACCCCCCCCTCCCCATATCCTTATATTTGCTTGTTCTCTTTGGTCCA